CTGAAAACCAACCAAGGTTGGGGAGTAGTCAGAGACCACAAATTATATCAGCACTAGAGAATAATAACTGACTAATTTAAGAAAAGGATTGGTATTTATAGTGTATTTATTGCTGATCTGCAATGTTAAATTTACGTCATTTTGCTATTATTGCAAGTCAGCAATATTGTATTGCATTCCTATGCAATATCATCAAAATTAGGGATGTAACAGTACGTAGGTTAGGGCTGCTAGGTACTTAGGCTACGCTATTTAACAGTAAATCTTTGATGCTCGGCTCCTATTGGTCGAAGCGTGATTCAGTGTAGCAATATATAGCCTATCGCTTTCTTCAATAAATGTTTTTTTCAATGCGAACAAGTAGCTCCTAATATTAGCGTGTGTAACCAACCAAACAAGCAAAGAAACTATTTATAATATTAGTATAGACTAGCTGGTATCCGTGACTTCGTTCGCGTGGAATTTAAAAAGCGCTGCCTTATGCCCGGTTTCTGAGGAACTTTTAACGGCAGTTTATCTATTCATTAGCGCTATTGGTTCGATAACCTAAGAAAGTGCGTTTCTGAACATCGCAATGTAAGATAAACTCCGTTTAAACTTAGATTAACTTAACTGACCAATGTGTGCCGTTTATCGATTTCATAACTTTATTTGACGTTTTGCTTCAAGCAAATTACATAAACTTTTAGGTTATAACTTGTTATTATTAAATTGTCAGTGAAAGCTTAATTTTAAAATTAACGTAATGAATACGAGCAGCTCATCAGAGTCTGATTTGGAAGTATTGGAGTTTATCTCTAATATTTCAGTACCTAGAAACTTAAGACGTAAGAGAAATCCTTTCGAAATGTTTACGGATGAAGAATTAGTGGTGTAGTACGATGGACTGCAGTCGGTCCACGAGGCCTCGAGTTCGATTCCCTGACCGGGTAAAATTTTATAGGGTTTTGCTACGAGGAAAAATAGCCAAGTTATTCCTTATATAATATAGACTTAGGTAGTAAAATATTATCATAATCGGTCTAGCCGTTTTGAGGACCAGGCACAAACAAACAGACAGGCAAAAATATTTAAACTGTTTTTTCAGCATAGGTGCCGTGCAAATAACCGTATAAATATCTATACACATAAATAAAATTGAAGTGTCTGTTTGTAATATCAAAAGTAGGTTTTTCTCATGCTCACACGATCATTTGCACGATGCCTTTGCCTAAAAACCGGTTTAAATATTTTTTGTCTGTTTGTTTGTTCCGGGTAAGCTTCAAACGGCTGTACCGATATTGATAATATTTTACTACCAGGTAGGTGTATATATTTGGAGTAACATAGGCAATTTTTAACCGACTTCAAAAAGGAGGAGGTTGTCAATTCGGATGTAATTTTTTTTATGCATACATAACTCCGTCATATATGGACGGATTTTCAAAATTTTTTTTTTGTTCGAAAGGGAATTATTCTGAAATTGTCCGATTAAGGTTGGAGTTTGTGAGTTTTGGAGACAGACAACGGAACTCTTCAAAAAATAACAGCAAATCAACCGCGATTGCTGCTAGGTTTTTAGTGTTCTTTGTTAGTATTGTTAGAAGTCGGTTCAAAGGATTTATCCTCTCAGAAAAACCCTGGGTTTTTCTCAAGGCCTCACGTACCGTACTACACCACTAAGTTAGCGCAGGGCCGCCGCTAGCTGTTCGAACGCCGCGTGCAACACCGATGACGCCGCCCTTTTTCCGTGCGGAAATCGCCCTTCGGATACATCCCACCGCATAGCCGGTGGGGTGGTCATGAATTTCAAGTCCGATCAAGTTATTTTTATCTTAATTTCAATTAATTTAGAAATATATAACTTAATTTCGATAAAATTATACCGCGGCATGTCGTGCCATGCGGTTTCATTCTACAGATTATCATGCCACCATATCCTGCGAGTTACATAGGTCGCAGGACTATTAGTCCCCCCTCCCTCGGAGTCAAGGCAGGAGACAGTCAATCAGTTTCGTCTGCGCGGATACAAAGTTGGTTGTGTCGTTCTGATTGACTGGGATTTAGCATTATTAGCAGTTCTTGCTGAAGATGAAGAGAGACAAACATAAACTGATATATTGAAGTAAAAACAATTCTGGTTGCATAATTTGTGGAGAACACGAGAGACACTCAGTGCGAGTTAAGACGCGCGAGCTTCCTCCTTTATATACTAAGACGTGGCGGTGTGTAATTGTATCGAAAAAGTAAAAGTATAGTAATATGAATTCTAAACACATTGAAATATGGATAAAAAGAACTTGATCAGAAATAAAATCCTTTACCAAGCCGTACCGTGTCGCGATGTCAGTCAGTGTGTATGTATGCTTCGGCATGCTGCTTCATACCAAAGCATCCTTCGGCTGCCGAAGAACACCCTGCCGTGCCGTGGCTTGCCGCGACGTTAGTCAACCCCCCCAGGCTGCCTAACACCGCACGCCGCGCCATCTCGGGCAGTAGCCGGGCAACCAAGTGTAATCTAGAAAGGAAATCCCTGATACCCCGACGGGTCCCGACTCGTTTACGGCTTACAGATGGCCTCCTGATGTGTATTGACTACGATTGCCCCTCACTGCCCCTTAAGGAGGCCCGGAGCACTTAAGCCGCCTGCAGTACCTGGTCCGTTCCCGGGCCTGGTGAGCCGGGAAAGGGTTCTAAGTCTCAACCGGTCAAACTTCGTCAAACTCCGTAACATGGTCGTAATCAGTCATGAGGGCATCCCTCTGCTCCATACACGCTGGAAATTCTGGCAGCGTGTAAGCGTCATGACCACGCTCTGGCCATCGGAGTGGCGTTTGGCCGGGCGGTGGCTCTTAACGGCTCAGACACAAGTGACCTCCAAAGCATCCTTTATGTCAGGCAATATCAGAGGGACATTTCCTATCGAGCCAATCCTCTATAACGCGTCTTACCGTCGCAATAACAGCGTGCCAGAATTATGCCGCCCCATAATATCCCGAACGTAAAACATTCGCCCGGTATAGGATATTTGGGCACCCCACACCCGCATCTTGAGTTATTCAAATTATCTATACCTACTTACATTTAATAAAGTAATTCGAAGCCTTTACACATTTGCATTTATTTTTGTACACCGAACAATAGATTTTACTATGATGAGATAAAAATACATTAGACATGCAAATTATGAAAAAGTTTCGGTTTCGGTTTCGTTTCGATTTCTGTTTTTGCCGCCCTCTTGAAAATTCTGCCCGTGTGCCATGCAAGCTCTGCAAACCCTAACCCGGCGGCCATGAGGCAGCGCTTTTCAAACTCCACCCGAACGAAGTCGTGGGCACCAGCTAGTTTATAATATAACTAGCGATCTGCCCAGGCTTCGCACGGTTACAATGTAAATACTACTAATAGTACTAATGTGGTGTGGAGTAATTAATTGTACTATTATTATGATAGGACTACTCGTATACTACAGGACATCTTTAAATACAATATTTATTAGCCCGCCCCGATCTTGCGTGCCGCTGCCGCCCGGGACGGACGACGACGGACGTACGGCTCGACGGTCTTTGAGCCCCCGCATTTTAAACCTCTATCTTCTAAAATATTCAATTTATTGACATGCTAAACAGAGCAATTTTAATCTACACTAGCTGACCCGCGCAACTTCGTCTGCGTCTCAATAGTAATAAATTTTCTCCGTTTTTGTAACATTCTTCATTGGTGCTCCGCTCCTATTGGTCTTAGCGTGATGATATATAGCCTATAGCCTTCCTCGATAAATGGGCTATCTAACACTGAAAGAATTTTTCAAATCGGACCAGTAGCTCCTGAGATTAGCGCGTTCAAACAAACAAACAAACAAAAAAACTCTTCAGCTTTATAATATTAGTATAGATTAAATGCACAACGTATCTAACGTATTTAATTGAATAACGAATAATACTGTATTGTTTAAAATAGATTCGTAAATAACCAATTATTTTTTGTCATATTTAAAAGATAAAAATATTTACTGTGGGTTATCCTTAATTCCGTAGTAAATTATTTTGGTCTGTCTCGTAAGGTTTAGCCAGCGTTTGCAATGTAAGCACACAAAAATACGTTTTTTTACGACAAATCTTTGAAATTGTCGGATTTTCTCTACTGTAATATGCATGCATGCATATGCATACATATAAACCTTCTTCTTGAATCACCCTGTCTATTGGTGAAAACCGCATGAAAACCAGTTACGTATTTTAAAAGATCTAGGAAGGAAGAGATCTAGGAGGAAATTTTTAAGGCGATAGAATACGCGTAAAATATTCGTGACCGTAAATGATTCTGACTGACGCTAGTTACCTGAGTTTGCCAATTCAAAGTCGCATCGATGTGCAGACTGAGATCCTAGACCGATGTACTAACAGGCAAAACGGTATCAATAAAGATGATTTCAGTAATACTATCAGGATAAATTCTGCTTGTCATTCTAGGACTCCCTATGATGATCGCTTGGCATTTTGATGAGTTCGCCGTTAATCCGAACACGTTTACACGATACCAGAGCTAAAACAGGCCATTAACATTCTCTTAAACATTGTGATGTAACCTTGCAAATAATTCTATTCTACAATTCAATTTTTGTGTATTGTAAACGACGGCGACGACGAATCACATCACTGGGGTGTCGTTTACATTTTATATAAGTTTTAGTTTATAGTTTCATAAGTTTTTTTCGTAACTTCATTACTGTGTGGTGTGGTTCAGTTGTGTCGTTTACAATACACGTCAATTTTAATAGCTTTTAATCTTTCATCCAAACACTTTATATAAACGTGTAAAGCCAACAACTTATAACTTATCAATATAGTTGACTAAAAATTTTATTTTATTTCCCACAAAAACGAAGACGCACGCCTTGCAACAGATAGTTCAATGATAAGTGGGAAAATTGCAAAAGATATCTCTTGTTTATAAATTTATCGTGTTATTTACTACTTCAGGTCGGTGCTGATGGGGCTAATTCGGCTGTCCGCCAAGCGATGGGAGTGCAATACCTATCGTGGAGCTATGATCAAATGGGTGTTGTAGCAACAGTACTTTTAGCCGAGGTATTTTTAATTTATTTTACTCTAATCTTAGATGATTCTACATTGATTTACACTCATTAAAAATCATACACTACAGTTTGCATGTGAAATTATATAGAACTGATGAGTAATTCATCTCGCTGGTATCATTTCCAGGAAACCAACAATACGACAGCATGGCAGCGCTGGCTACCATCTGGACCGGTCGCATTATTACCGCTAGATAACAAACGAAGTTCTTTAGTATGGTCGACGTGGCATGACCACGCAAAACAATTGCTTAAACTTCCCGAGGATCAGTTCGTGGACTCCCTGAATGATGCACTGGTAAGAGCATAATGTTATTTGAATAAAAATGAGTGGAATATTAAGAGATCTTGCGCACTAGACGGCCACGACATCGGCCAGTGTTGGCAACGACTAGATCAAATTAAAAACCGGTTGTAGTCGTGAGTAAATTGATCGTAGTGCCCGAGGTCCCTAATTTGTAACTTCCAGAAATGAAATGAATGAAATGAATTATATTCATAATGGTGAAACTTTTATTAAAAATTAAAATTATTAAAGAATTCATTTACTAGTATATGTATACAACATGTTTTGGCTGCTGCGTTTTAATTACTACTGTCAGGGTCAGCGGTACATGAGTAAAACGAAGGGTGTAGAGAAGTAGAGTAGTAGAGAAGAAGTAGGGTAGTAGTAGAAGTAGAGACAGTAGACAGAGACTACTTTATTAAGTTGTCAATATTGGTGACCATTGATATTGATCATTATATTATATCATCATATTATGATTATATGATTATTATATTATCGATTACATACATTGTAAACACATATTATGACAACTACTACTACTTCACTTATGTAAATTCTGTGGTGGTAACGTAGCTTTCTAATAGGGATAGAGTTATTAAATTAGATTCAGTAGGTTCACTTTATCATCGGGCCGCCATGCCGCTATTGAAGGAGGAAGTGTTCTCCCCTGGGATAGGTCCTGATTAGGCATGGTGTCAATTGTATCAATTCGGACAGGACCTGAAATAACATGGTCCAGGTCCTCTCCAGAGTAGGACACCTAATGCCGGTCGTCGGGGTGGTTTTCAGTGGAATAACCACATACTCCTGGCTCCTGAGTCCCTGAGGAGCAAGAGATTTTCCACCTCGTCAATAAAAAAAAGGTTCACTTTATCGATTATATTATAGTTGATCCACCTCGTCTTAGCACGGGTAGACAAATAGAGGGATTACTCTCCGCGTGGAGCTTGGCTCGAGCAAAAGTGAGGCGTTTGAAAGACACCATTGCCGCTGTATTTTTTATTATATAGTTTAAGTTATGAATATTAAGAAATACAACGAAAATTATAAACTATTATTCAATTGTTTCTAGTTTATACAAGAGTGTTGTTTGCTTACAACCCAGCATTTTTCTTACTTTAACATTTTTATACCAGTTTTAACTTCTGAAGGAAAGGTTCAATTCGAATTAAACTAATATGAATTTACGTGTCAATGGTATCAACCTCGATTATGAAAGTATCTAGTTAGGTTATAATATTATAATTTATATACATACATTATGCAATCACCAATTTTTGACTCTATGAAATTCTAAAGTATTATTGTAAACCTTTTTCTTTACGTCGGTTACTAACACTCTTATAAAACTACAATCCTGTTTAGACTAGATCATACAATATTTCGCCGCAACATTTTACTGTGCAATTACTAAATACTTAATCGAAATCATCGATTTACAATGCCAAAGATATGGTAAATCGACGATAGTGGCTCATAATATGAGTGAGGTAGGTGCGAAAATGAGGCAGGCACATAATTAAAAAAAAAACTATTGGCCACGATCGCTTCAATGAAAGAATAAACTCATTCACGCAAGTATTCTATAGATTATATTCCATCGTTCCAGTGGAACCAGTATCCTCGCAGTACCGGTGTAGCGACTGCAACATCATGGATGTCCTCCGCTCTCCGTCGAGTTGGTCTTCCGGATGGTGTGGACCGGCAGCTTCCACCTTCCGTTCGGCACATAGTTCCTAAATCCCGCGCCGCCTTTCCACTCGGCTTTGGCCATAGCACTCGATACGTCGCTCCTGGAGTTGTGCTTGTTGGGTGAGATGGTAGTCCTAGTTCAATAATAATATACATACATACAATCAGGGCTATTTTCCCGAAAGGGTAGATAGAAACGTCTCAGACCCCCACGTTTAGACACTAAAAATTTAATCCTACTTACGTTAGGTCTAATACTGTCGTCCGGACACTTCATGGATTAAGTAGAATTATTGGGAGTAAATTAGAAAGGGAAGAAGGAGAGACAAAGATTAAAAGGAGATTGCCTATACGGATGGATTAGGCAATTTAAGCAATAGTTCGAGGAGATCCAAGGTTTGCATACCTGTAACTCGAATTAACTAGCTAGGGTAAACTATACAATGATTGGCACTTTGAGGATTCTTTAAGAATCGGTCATTGGCGCTAACGTTTAATTAACGTTTTTTCATATATAAATAATCACGGGTTAACAAGTTTAATAAAAATTAGTTAGTAAAAACATTAACATTTAAAAAGTTGCATTTTACTTACTTACTATCTGTACATATAAAAATGTTAAGTTTGTTTGTGTACGCTTCAAAAACTTGAAAAGTTCTGCATAAATTGAATATTTTTAACACATCAGTCCTTAATACTTTTCTTTAAAATTAAGAGTGCTAATGACTACTGGGGCGCCAACAATAGTACAGCTTACCCTATTGCCTAAAAAACTAAGCCGTCTAGTTGATAAAATGTATTTGTGTAATATATACCTACGATAATAGACAAAAATCATACGATCTCAATTCATTCCAACACCACTTACAAAAACTTAATCATACCAAACGCAGAAAGCGACCCCTTTTTTCATATTCGTTTTAAAATGACTAGCTACGTATTGGTTGGCTCGACCGGAGTGATAACACGACCTCACAAAAAACCAGTCAAGCAGTTCTTTCGTTTTTTGGAGTTTACGCCTTAAGAATCGATTTTCATATATGAATGGCACCCTGTGTGAAAAAATATGAACAGGAAAATTTAGTGATCGAATGACCTTGTATTGACCTCGTTACGTTTTTAGTTCTAAATGTAAATAACCGCCATCTACCGGTCCAACTCTTTACTTTTACGTGGTTTTAATAATATTTTTTGTGAGTTTGTTATTAGTTCTATTATTGCAACGTGTCTCAATTTAGTGAGTAGTCTACTACAAAATTAAAATTGTTTTAAAACGGAATAAACCCCAAAATAGATGGCAATTAATACGTGACTTCTAATTATTTTACTAACATTTACATAGTTGGCGATGATCACTAAATTTGTCCTCTATGGTAGTATGGAATTATGTTGGTACGGAAGTATAGAAATATAGTAGTATAGTACTATGGAAGTATGGTAGTATGGAAGTACATATTACTAAGAAATAAAAGGTGCGCACGATAGGTTGCTCACAAAAAACGTAACGTGGTCATTCGATCACCGTTTTTAATCCTTTAGAATCGATTTTTATATAAGGCGCCGGGTATGAAAAAAATATGAACGGTAAAATTATTTTAGTTAGTATTTTTTTTGTTTTTTGTACGCAGCCATTCACGCGCACCTTTCCCATTCGTGTGTATAACTTGTTTACTTGTGTGCAGCCGGATCGTTCTTAAGGAGTAAACTCCAGTCGTGCCTCGGAGTGCGAAAAAAAGTGTATGTCAGACACACACTTTTTTTAACCGAGTGAGTGTGGTTACCGGGGAATTTAATTGTCACGATCGTGGCTCGTGATAAGTGGCACTAACACAACTAATGCGAAAACCATTTCAAACTAATAGCTTCTGTGACATTTTAAGACCCGCTATAGTGCGGTTGCAGGCAAAGTGGGAAGAATTTCGCGCAATTAATTACCTTTATGCCCACTGCCAGAGGTCAAAACGGTTTTACTTAAAGTGCTAGTCCTTAAAATTTAACAGAATATAAAATAATAGTAGGTAATAAACTAATTATAATATTTTTATAATAAATTTAAATGTAAAAATTATTTATGAAATAAAAAAGAACTATTATTTAGTATTACTTATTTCAAAATATTAATGTAATTTAAAAACGGAGTAACATTGTTGTTTGAATATGAAAAGCATTGGCATGGCAAACCAAAAATCTTTCTGCCCGCGACCGCCATTTTACAAAGGTCCCACGTGGCAAAGGCGGTAATTACCACCGCCCTAAGCACGTGGCTTTTTGTAAAGTGTAGGTACATTAGTACACCTGCATACTGATTGCACTTGAACGTAAGTTAACGAAAATATATTTGTAATTATTGTTTCTCTACTTTTTTTTGTCCCAGAGTTTATGGTAACTAAAGTGTAACTAACAAACTCATATTCGCAGGTATAATATTATTTATAAGGATTAACAAAACCCATAGGTGCCACCAACCAACAGCTACTTAAGGCAATACATATTGCTTTTGTTTTAACAAGGGTTTTCTGATGCCCTCGGCTTATCAGAGTCTTTATTACGAATATAATAAATACCACGTTCTTGTGTTCTTTATTTGGGTAACAACATAACTTTTAATAATTTAAAGAGAAAACGCTTTTTGTTCTTGGTCAAATGGTAATGTATTTTATTATTGTAAAATGTAGTTAATTTAACGCTATTAGATATTTGTTATATATGATATAAGTAGGCAGGTAGTAGGTAGGTTATAAATTTGTGTCAGAAATCATAGTCAAAATTACCCTTACTGCAAGTGTGGTTAATAATCAAATACTTCAGTCACAGAGCAGTCATCCGACTGCTAGGCAAAGCCTGGACTATGGTAGCCAGCCGGCCGATACTCATATATTTCTAAATACAAACATATTAAGTTCACGGATTTACTCTATTGTAACATGCATGTATTATACATATAAACCTTCCTCTTAAATCACTCTCTCTATTGGTAAACACCACATTAAAATCCGTTGCGTAGTTTGAAGTATATATAGGCGATTATAAAAAAGACTTCATTTAATACTACATACAAGATTTACCTACATATAATGAATTGTTGTGGGGGAGCCATGCTTCGGCACAAACTAGTCGACCCGACCGAAGGGATTCCACGGCCTCACAGAAAACCGGTGTTAAACAATTTTCCTTCACTGAGTGAGTGGGGTTGCCGGAGCCCAAGCCACCCCTTCCCCTAATTTTGGGGGGGGGGGGGTCGAGCTCAAAAGGTGGCAGCGCTTTTGTTACTGTTGAGTTGCAGTTGTCCAAAAAAAAAAACAGGTTTTCAAAATCATTTATTTGTTATGAAAGCATTTCAAAATAATATGATAAATATTATTATTTTCTATACTAATTATAATATTAATATTTTAAATCTAATCTTATCTATTAAAATATCTATGTTAGTCACATTAAGTAAGCCATCAAATTACAATATTGTACTTTCATTAGTAGCCTAAGTATTCGTAAGTCGTAATATAATTTACTAATGATAATTTCATTAGATCACAATAGTAATGATAATGATAGTAATTAAATAATCGCTAAAGTGGGTATAAATACATACATACACACTGCAATAATAAAAAAAAAACATAAAATATCAATACAAGTGTGTGTAATCGTTATATTACAGTACTGTACTGCCATCAGTAAATTATTATCGTAATATGATTTACTAATTATAGTGTGGTTACTTTAGGTCACGTTAATGACAATGATAGAAATTAAATAATTGTTCATTAAACGGGTATAACATAAATAATTTCAAAACAATTTAAACATTCTGTGTCATTCATTACATTTATGGAGGGAAGAGGCAAGGCGAACCATCTCACATGGGGGGAAAGTTGGAAAAGTGTCCAGCGGTCGCTGGCGTACGAACAACTACGATGATGATGATGATGATAAACATAGCTGTCGTAGACGGAGTGACGTGCGCTGAGTTAAAATATTATAATAATTTTAGTGTCTCAAAGTTATTACATGCATTTATTGTCTGTAAAACTCATTGAATATTTTCGTAGTTTAGTACACGTTTTCTTATTATTATTTAAACCAATATAATTTTTTCGCGTACGAGAAACTACGATATGAACATAGCTGTTGTAAACAGCCACTTTTAGGTTCTCCTTGCCTCTACACTCCATAATTACAATTAATAAATATAAATAAACGTTTTTACATAAAAAAGGGATCACGTACTTTTGCTTTCCAATAATATAAATATATTCTATTTTTACATATTATTATGCTTAAATGTATTGACATTTACACTTAATAATATATATACCTATATTATATATATGTAAATAGGTCAAGTCAAAGTAGAAAGACTTCAGTTTCGCATTTTAAAGAAATAGTGGTAGGTTACTACCATTATTTATGTAAACTAGTCTATTAAGACTAGAGTTATGTAATTTAAAGATATAAAATAATGTAGGTGTGGGTGTATTTTTCATCGACATTCTTAACAAAGTTTTAAAGATAACTGTTACATCACTAAACTTAAGAATCGATTGGTCTCCTGTATAGCTTATTAGTTCCTCTAATTCCTCTCCTTATACAAAACATTTAGCAATTGAGAGGTAAAAACGCAATGGATAGACGGACAGCTTTATTATCAAATTTAGAATATATGTTATGAGAATTTCGTGCTAGGTAAATTGTTTTAAAAACCTGAAGCATAGCCATGACACTACACAAAACTCAAAAAGTAGACGTATCTGATTTTGGCTTGGTTTGGCCCGCATTGACTTCGTTGGGCATGTTGGGTGGTGGTTAGCGATCCTGACTGCTAAGCCAGAGATCGTCAGTTCGATTTCCACCCAGGAAAATTATTGTATGATAAGTATTATAATTTACTTTGTGTCTGTATGTAATTTATCTATAATATGTAAGAAGGTATTTATAAACATATAAGTATGCTTATCAACAGTCTGATTACCATAGTACAGGTTCTGCTCAGATTGGGATCAGCCGCGTGTCAAATATGTGGGGGTTATTATTCTAAATTGAATCATCCCTAAGACTAACATAAATAAATATTCGGTTTAAACTCAAACCACCGACTGGGTGTTTGCAAATTCCTGAGCCTATTATACTACTTCCTAATTAAAATTTATTTTTGTATTTACGATATACGATAACGATAACAATAGATGCATTTCACAATACTTCGTGACTTCGTGTGTGTCCGTCCTTAGTATAATAATATGCGTCATTTATTTTCGCACGATATCTATTCAACTGTAACTTTCTAGAAATGTCTAACATTGGGTCGATACAAAAGGGTTTAACAATTGTTTGATGCTTTATTGTAGTCTTTGTTTATACTTTTACTTGTCTAAAAATGGGCACTTATTTTAAATATCATAAACACGTTTGTTTTTAAATATTTTCATTGTTCTAATTGTGTGAATTTGTGAAATGAATGAAACTTTATAATATTAATATTATAAAGTTACACATTTTAATCTATTGCCATATCCAAACATTTCTTTTAGTCTTAGTTTTAGTTTAAACTTACATTTTATTTTCTTGTCCTCCCTTAGTATTTGATGTTTATTACATAACTTTAGTACTACATACTTCCTAGTCCTTTCCCCATAATAATTATTTACTTTAAACTGCTCTAATTTTCCCTTCTTTATTACTCTGACACCATAATAATATTTTTCTTTATCTTATATACTTCACTATGATATGATGATATATTTCGAATTATCATGACTATCTATAGGGACGCAGCACATCGTGTTCATCCCCTGGCCGGCCAAGGAGTCAACCTTGGTTTTGGGGATTTGAAGGATCTCACCGAATTACTCGCCGAATCTGTATACTCTGGTTTTGAAATAAGTGAGTATATAAAATAACTAAGACAGTAAATACATAGTGTTTCAACCCCGTTAGAAATATATAGAATTACATTATGGTAAATGTCAATATTTGCTCACATTCCAAACACAAACCCAATCGTGGTAATTATTCAAATGTCCCTGTCGATAGCATTAGCTCGGTTACTCCACATATCTTACCTTTATAATAAACATTCTATTAAACGAGTTATTGCTCCGCAGCACATCCCACTTGGATGGAAAAATACGAAAGTGCCAGACAAAGGCATAACGTCCCGACTCAGCTTATGATCGAAGTGTTACATCGCCTCTACACCGTTGACTTGTTGCCTGTTGTGCTGGCAAGAAGCTTAGGATTACAGCTCACTAATGCTTTGCAACCTTTGAAGGTACTATATAGGTCTATATTATATTATAATTATTTCTTATTAATTATTATGAGAAAGTTTTCAAAAACATGCAACACGAGCTAGAAAAGTGATTCAGATTTCAAAAGAGCATTTTTTTTTACCCTTAATGAGTGCAATGTTCAATGTCTAAATTAAAATGTCTTAGTTCACCAAAAAGAATCATCATCATTCTATTGTCGTCCAATGCTGAACGAAGGCCTCCCCTAAGGAGCGCCAACTATCCTAACCTTTGCCAAATCCTATCCTAACCTTTTTTTTACGATTAAAAAAAGAAATAAAAGAGAAGAATACCATGGATTATCTTCAGTGTTCTCTAAAGCTAAGACTCTCTAGTTCAATAAAGTCAAATGAACTTTACTTGGATTAGTGTGATTTTGAAACTCATATTTAATCAGGTTCTAAGATATTTCTGAAAACTTGTGTAAATTATAGTTTATAAAAGTTACACAATTGTGACGCACAGTTTCATAAGCACTACATTAATATGACGAAAAATTGACATTAGGGGTAACTGATTAAGTAATGTACTTGGGTCTTACGAAATAGTGTTGCTCAACCGACTAGTTAGCGTTCATACTCTTATACTGTATCGATAGCATTCTTCTATTTAATAAATTTCGTTGTACTGCTTTTTAAGAAAATTTCAGTTGGCAGTGAAATTTGGAATAATTAGTTTTATATACAAGATTGCGAATTTAGCAAATTAAACTTTAAGCCTAGCCCTCTGTTAATCTTAATCTAATAAACCTTTAAACGATCAATTCTTGTATATATATATATAATCCGAATCTCGGAAACGGCTACAACGATTTTCATAAAATTTGTGCCTATGCAGGGGGTTTCGGCGATTAATGGATCTAGCTAGGTTTCATTTTTAGAAAAATAACCAAAAAAAGAAGTGTCATAAATTGTATTTATAAAGACTTACATCGTATTAAATCGTGCACGATGGTACATAATGCTTAATCTAGTAGTCCGACTAGAACTTGGCTGGTTTTATTTATTTGTTTTACTAATGTTTTGTTTCAGAAACTAATCATTACGCAGGCGACAACATAGACAACAGTTATATAAATACTTGTAAAGCTAAACACTTACTATATATAAAAAGTAAGTTAGTATAATCTATCACTTTGGAAATGAAGTGTTCCTTATACAAGAATTTGGTTAAAAGTCTGGCGCTTCACCTACTTTAAGAAAGAGAACAAAGTTTGAAGTGTTGACAAGTTAGTGTAATTAATAATTGTTATATAATATATTATCAAATTGTGTTTCATTTCATGTCTCAACAATACTAGTTTTTTTAACCACTATAACACTAAGCATCACACCAAAACAGAAAACAACATGAGGTCATTGTCATTCCATTTGGGCAGCTTAAGATAGGATTAATAATTCGATTAAAATTATTATAGGTACACTTAATTTGCAATATGACTAAAAATGATGTGCTGATGACATTGATGACATGAAAGTCATTAGCATCTGGAGTGACACCTGTAGACTGATAACTTCTAGAAGTATAAACATCCTTAGTAGGTATCTGGTTAGTGTCGGTTTACTATAAAGATATTACTTGGAACCAGTAGTTATTAAAGTTACAAACTTTTTTTTCTTTACTATCTATCGACATGGACATGTTTTTGGAGTTTGGTAAGGCAAGGCAGGAAAATATATTTTATGACAGTTGCGCTCCTTGGATATATTACATTTCTGTGTCTTGTGCAGTTGAAATCATTTGGCCAGCTACGAGTATAGGTACTACCGTTATTAATTGACTTTTCCCTGAATGAATATAGGTATTTGGTATGTATAGTTTGCGCTTATCAATATGGATAAGAACGAACTATTGATTTTTTGATATTGATCAGAAAAGCAAAATTCTGGCAAAATTTGTTGTCTATGATTTGGCAAATAAAATATTTTTATTTATTGACTGTGTTTTTAGGGCATAAATTTGGAAACACGGCAACCCAAAAATTCATTCACACACACACACACACAGATAGCTACCGCCATTACGTTGCAACAGTTTTGTGTTAGCGAGAATTCCGCCCCACTTTTTTTATACGTTCATGGTTAGAATAATAAAACTTCTATTGCCGAAATAAGGGTACGTACGTATATGTACGAGTACATTTACGTTGAAATTATCATACCTTTACCAAATTGTTTAAAATGCTTAATGTAGGTGTATTAAAAGTAAGTAAAGTAAGTAAGTAAGTAAGTAGGTGTAAGTATTTAAATATCAATCTATTACTTGAAATATACTGCAATACGTTACACAAAACACCCTTTTTTTTTTAACGTGTGGAAATCCCCTCGGACCGTCACCCACCGGGGTTTGCGGCGGGGTGGTGTGTCGGACTCGGACCGACTAAAACCACACGGTGTGCCACTCTGCGCCTGTAATAGGAGGGATCCGGGAACAGCTGTTATTAAGACATCCGGACCCCTCCTAGCGCCGGCCCGCTCCTGTTGCGGGCTCCGTCTCAAAAATGATTTTCCTCTCTTTAGGCGACGTCCGGCACACGTGGACGCCGCCCCCTCGCGGCTGGCCAAAATAATGCGGGTGGAGGGGAAACCCACCCCGTCCACCCGCGGCCACACTCAGGGCGGCATGAGGCGCAGGTCAGCGCGCCTCCGCCGCCCGGTTCGCCGGCGCCGGATCGGGTCCGAGTAGAGGTCTTCTCCGCGCCGCCTCCTTCTGCGAGATTACTTCCCCGCAGAAGGTTGCGACCGCGGTAAAACAACTGTCGCTACCGGCCATGGAGCGTACTACGGCCGATAGCGAGAGATCCACTCCGATGACTGCAGTGAGGGCCCGGCGCTGCGTCGCCCATGCGGGGCAGACCGCCAGCGTGTGCTGGGCCGAGTCCTCACTGCAGTCGCAGTGGTGGCAGGCGGGACTCAGTTCCCTCCTAGCGACCGAGTGCAGGTACTTTCCGAAGCAACCGTGCCCGGAAAGCACCTGCGTCAGCCGGAAGGTAAGGGTCCCGTGCTGCCGCCCTGCCCACTCGGCGATGACCGGCTGGAGAGCCTCCACGGCGGCGAAGCCAGTGCGTGGAGTCTCCAGCCGGAACGACCAACGAGCCATCGTGGCTCGGCGAGCGGCTTCGCGCCACTCGCGCACGTCTTCGGGCGGAGGGCGAAATCCGCTCTCCGCCCGGGAGTCAGCCACACGCCGATAAACTTCGGCAAGCACTTCCGCCTCCAAATCCCACGTGGGAGTTCCGGCCAACGCGCACGCCACCTCCGTCGAAACGGTGCGATAACCGCGTATGGCTCTGACCGCCATTACCCTCTGAGGGCGCCAGAGGTGTGCCCTATTATGGGCGGTCAGAGCACCGGCTCTGACCGCCCAGAATAGGGCACGCCTCTGGCGGTGCACCGGTGTGGGCATCGGCCCACACCGGTGCACCGTATAGTGCCATTGACCGGACAACCCCCGTGTACAGCCGTCTTGTCGCGACGCTGGGTCCACCCAAATTGGGCAATAGTCGCCCTAGGGCAGACGCAGCGCCGACCAGCTTTGGAGCAAGCTGTCGGAAGTGCTCGTCGAAGAGCCACCTCCCGTCTAGGATCAGGCCCAGATATTTCATTTGGGCCCGAACCGGTACGAGGACCGAGTTGACCACGATTGAGGCGCCAGGGGGTGGACCACGACGGGGCCCATGAAATAACAGAGCCTCCGTCTTATTTAGGGCCACCCGTAAGCCCAGCGCCTCAATGCGCCCGACCACCAGGGAGACTCCCCTTGTGGCCAGGCGCGCCGCCGCCAAAAAATACAAATCGAAATATACTACTATAATTAACAACCAAATAAGTTAATATTTAATAAGACATTTACAATATTTTGAGAAAGTTGTAGAATATTCTTTAAATTATGTGCATAGATGCCTATTTATTGCTATTTTAAGATAACTAAGATTGAGGTTATGGGAAAAAAGTGGAATTACAAAAGTTGTAGGTCTCTTTATTACCTACAACTCTGTCATTTAATTTTTTCCATAGGACTTGTAGTTTTGCCGGAAATCGAGATACACCGTGTTGTGACCTCAGATCGCCCATAAATTATTTTTCCTTTCATTTTTGTTATATTCTCGCGCTTTTTTAACGGGTTTCATCCTACTATAATCTTTTTTCACTTTTTAGCATTTTCAAAATTATCGACCCTGGTCTACAGTTAAACATTCAGTTTTAAGGTAATAATAATAACTTTTTGAACCTTCCATTCATTCCTTTATTACAATTATTATACAATTCAATAAATGCTTACGACCATTTTTGGTGTAGAAAGTAGACCCTGCCTTCCAAACTAGGTATTCCTGTATAGTGTGCCTGTGATGAGTATGTGTGTAGAAGGGATCGGTGTTGTTGGATAATAATGTGTCGGAAACTATTTTTTTTCACATAGACTTAGTTGTGTTTATATTATTATTGTGTGAGTAAGCAATGCTTTGGTCTGCCGTAGTCCTGTTCCAGTCACCTTCCATACTAATATTATAAATTCGAAAGTGTATCTGTCTGTCTGTTACCACCACTTCACGCTTAAACCCCTTTTTTTTTTTTTTTTTTTTTTTCCGTGCGGAAATCCCCTCGGATACCACCTGTCGGTGGCATGTCGGACTCGAACCGACTAAAACCGCACGCCTTCGCCGGGTACTAATAGCCGGGGAACCAGGTATACCCTAGAAAGGAAGGCCCTGGTGCCCCGACATACCTCGGGTCATCTACAGACGAGTAGACGACCCCCGCCCCGTGTGGGAACCCCATGTTCCCTGTGCTCCCTGAAAGCGAGCGCGCTTCGCAACGCGCTCGCCGCCTCCCCGGCCTGCTTCTGCTAGGGTGACAGATGGCCTCACCTGTCACCCCCAGGCCTGCGCTTATGGAGGACGGAGGTCGTTCTGCGACCTCCGGCGCCTGAGTCGCCTGCGCTGCCTGGCCCGTGCCCGGGCCTGGCGGGCCGGGAGAGTTCTAAACCTCTCCCGGTCCCGCTCCGCCGTCTCCTTCGCGAGCATAACTTGCTCGCAGAAGGAGACGGCAGAGTTCCACGCACTCTCGCTCCGCACGATAGCCGCAATCAGGCTATCGAGCGAGAGAACTCCCACTCCGATGGCCGCCACGAGGTCTCGCCTCTGCTCAACCCACGCCGGGCACTCTGCCAGCGTGTGGAGAGCCGTGTCCACGGTCTGGCCATCGCAGTGGTGGCACTCAGGCGTTGGCTCCTTGCGGATCAGACACAGGTGATCTCCGAAACATCCCTTCCCAGTGATCACCTGCGTCAATCGGTATGAGAGGGTCCCGTGACGCCTCTCGAGCCAATCCTCCATAACGGGTCTTACCGCCGCAATGACGGCGTGCCCGACGCTTAAACCCCTGAACTGATTTAGATGAAATTAGGTATAGAGATAGTTTCAGTACTGGGAAAGGACATAGGATAGTTTTTATTCCAGAAATCATCAAAAAGATGTTTTTTTTTTATCAAAACTTTAATTAAAACCAAACTACTTATCACAGAATCAATAAGAAGTTACTTAGAACTACATTACACATACCTACTAATAGTTTTTTTTTCTTAGCAATTTTTCGTAAATTATTCGATCTAGCTCTTAGACTATATCCACCTTCTTGCCTCTACACTATATCCTCCTTATCATCCACATTACAAAAGACCTGTGGTGTCGGTGTGATGACGGATTAAGAATACAGTGTCAAACCCCATATTCATCCCGTGGGTGTCGTAAGAGGCGACTAAGGGAGCAAACTACGCAGGACAACAGCACTGCAGAGATAAGGAGAACTTGACACAAACCCTATACCAACCCGTCTGGCCAGCCTGGTATAGTAGGCCAAAACCTCCTTTCTAAAGAGAGGCCTTTGTCCAGCAGTGGACTAGTAAAGGCTGTTTATGATGATGATGATGAAGATTCTCCCTAGGTCTTTATATACCTTATAACTTATAAATTTGAACCAGTGACCGACATGTCCTGATATTTGGCGACAAATTTTGACTTAATTTGTGAGAAAACAGATCTTCGCTAGGTGCCCTAGTTTTTAAAATACAGGACCCCAGCAGGGCCCTCCATAATCGCTTATAACTTTTGAACTAGTGACCGACATGTTCTGATATTTGGCGACTGATTTCGACAAATTAGCGACCAAATTTGAACCAAACCCTATAAACGCTTATAACTTTTGAACCAAATGAAATGAATTTTGAAGAATGAATTTCGTCAAATTAGCGACGAAATTTTTGTGTTATCAAAATTACAATCCATGATGGTGGCTATGCCAGGGTCAGTGACACAGTTATTAGGAAGAATTGAAGGCCCATACATAACTGCAAATTGGCAATTGGCAAAAAGAGCCGCGGCGGTCATTTGGCCGATATATTATTTAAAACATAAATTGCATAAAATTACCTATCAAATAAATCAATCGGATGCATTTTTCATAAAAAATTGTGTTTTATTCAATTTTTAAACTATGACGTTCTTTTTGTAGACCCCATATTTGACATTAAAGTATTTCTATAGAAAATATAAAAAAATAAATACTTTTCCTTTATGAGGAACAATTTGGATCCTATTTTTACTGATTACAGTTTATCCAAATATGCATCACCAAAAAAAATCTACTACAACCTTCTAAAGTTTTTTCATATTTTTATCATCAGATAATTTTGGTTTTAAGCCCTGAGAATTTAGAATTAAATTTGTTAAGTGATGATTAGAAAAGTAAGTCAAAATTACTAATTTAAATGTTAATTAAACCACTATTAGAATAATTTAAAAATCCATATTCGCAAAGGTATATTTCATGAATCCTAATTTTTCAAATACAGATGTTGAATTATTTGGTAAAATATTGGTACTTTTGTTAAATTTTCGAGACTTCTTTTCTCCGTGCATAATAATAATGTTTTTTTTTATTTTGCAGACCGCGATAAGATCGGCTATTTAAGATTTGGTATCGTCTTGTAATCCTGGTTCATACCGAGTTCACTTTTGAAGTCCGTAGTTTCTATTTAAAAACAGATTTAAAATTTCGAAGTTATAAGTTTTTAAGTATCTAGATACGTAGCCAGGTATGTACCTACCTACCTATATTATGTTGTAAGATTACTCGCCTGTATCTGTGGCATTCCAGCGTTTATTTTGATTGCTGATCTGTATTTCTGAATGTTTCTGGTTTAATGGGAACCAGGTATTAGCATACTTACCTACATTACAATTAGTTCACTACAATTTTATTGCCTAAACGAGACTCTGGTAATAGGGAATCAATTGTGAAATAATAAAAAGAAAGCCATTTAAAAGCTTTACCGGATCGTACACTAAACATGGTACAAAAACCTTTTTATGTTTCATGGAACTGATCACCTACCTGAGAATGATGATAACCAAATATTGGGATAAGCCTCTAAAGTATTGTATTACAAAATAACTAGCCAGCAGCTTGGTGTTTAAGCAACTTCACTCTTTGTTTGGTATAACAAACAAAGAGTTTTGAATGCTCTGTTTTTTGCTTTAGCCTGCCCGCTTATTGTTTAAACTAACTAAATAAACTAAGAATTACTGTAAAACAAACTGTTTTTATTGTTTTAATATTTCTTTGTCTGTTTTTTATGTCCTTTGCCACAATGTTTAAGTACTCTACCTATTTAATTATAGGTAGGTAATCCTTAATGTTTTGTGGTCAAAATAGACTGATACAAATTATGTAATTTAGTATATATATACCTTTACCTTAATTTTTAGATTGTTAATAATAACAAACAGAAACAAAACAACATTCGTTACAAATAGCAAAGTTCGTTACGAACAGCTGCCGCAGCCAGTCGTCACGTTCGTCCCCCTGTTTTCGATAATAGCATGGTGACGTCACAAAATGGGCAACTATTTATAATGATTCCACTAAAGAACAATTGAACGAAAATGAGCTTAATTACTATAAGGTAAAGAGTGATTTTTGTACAAATGTACAACTCACGGCCATGTCTCACAATCAATACTTTGAATACATTCACCACACCACACCACAATGTCGTGAATAATGTGCAAAATAATATCATGATTCATTATTAGAACAAAACGTATTAAACTAAGGATAAATAAAGTTGATACCTACGTAGGTATGTATTCATCTAGGTGGATTTTTACTTTACCGTATGGGTAGTAGGTAATAAATGAAATTAAAATCATTTATTGTAGGTACCCATTGAGTTAAAACAACACTAGAGAAGCAAACCTCATTATCACACGTCGAAAAAAGTGTAACCACTTTTGAACTTTGACGACGTAGCTTTGATACCACTAAACATTTGAAAGTAAACATATTTATGTCTCATTTACACGCGAGACAAGAACAATACCATCGCTCGGATTAGACAAAGACAAAGATATAACTTTACGATGGTGGGCCAGTGTTGACTACCGTATAAAATTTTACCCATAACAACTAAGAAACAATTTCTTTTTTTAAACAATTTTGTAATAAAATAAATTAATTTAAATATTCTAAATAATATATTTCGAATTGAATAGAATAGGTATAAATAATAAAATAACTGGCAATATTTGGTTAAAAGGGTTTATATTCAGTGTAAAATCAAACTGCGCTGTGAAGCATCAGTTTTGTATACAATTGTCTTTTAGACTCTTTTTTATAAGTTTGTGTGGATATTTTACTTTCATTTTACAATCTTATTTTTACGTATGTAAAAATAATAGCATTTAATAATAAAAGTGAATGATCAACTTGTACTGATAATAAATAATCCCCAGGGTGTATTGCAAATTCTATTATAATTTAAAAAACAAATTAAAAAAAAAAATATATACATTTTATAAAAAAAATTATTTATGTTTATTTACTTTTTTATTTTATATTTTTATTTTTATGATAAACATTTATTATTATTATTATTATTTTGTACAATTATTATTTAAAATTGATAATAAATTAAGAAAAACAATGAATTATTTTTTTTGTACAAAAGTCTCCAGCACTGCGAGCTTGGCATTCAACGGGTCCCTAAAAAAAGAGATCGGTCCAGCCCTAACAACTACCGTTCTTCCTATATTTTATTATTATTGGCAAAATGTTTAAAAACAGTATAAAGCATGTTATTTCATAAATTATAAATTCTCCCACTAATGTGGGAAAACCAAAATGATTTTTTAATGGTAACACTGATTCTAAATTACAATTATTAGTGTTTTATTTCAATTATAGCCTTATTTACGATATTATCAATACAAAAACCATAAACTTACACGTGAAAAGTAATTCCGCATGATTTATTAATGTTTTGTGACCTTGAATCGCATTCTTTCACTACGCATTTAGCCATTTTGACGATTGTTACTGTCATGTGTCGCTATGTTCAACTCGGTTGACGCCACATTGAATAATGAATTGACGTTTGCTACGCATATGCCTGTGGACATATGTGCAGTAGCAACGATTTTAGGCGGTAATTACTCATCTATGTAAGTATTATATCAATGTAGGTACCTAATTGAACCTATCATAGACAGGCATTTTTTAATCGTCTAGAGTAAAAATAAGACCAAGTGATTTAAAAAATGAAGGAAAACAGACAAGAAACTCCAAGGACACTCTTTTCTATCTATATCCCCTTGGAGTTATGAAAAAGTAACAACCTTAGATTTTATGTCTCTAAGGTAACAACAATACAGCTATTATAAATTTATAACTTACGAAGCCCTTTTACTTTAGCTTATAATTTAATAGATGAAACAGTATTAGAATCTATTCTACATAGGTATTGCTTATCTACCTTTCTCGTAGGAACTTCCAATGTTCTAGATGTTTTTCGAGGTTAAAAAAAATGTAAGTACCTAAAACCTATACTAGTGCTTCTGTGATTTGTAAATTTAAAATGCAAAAGGATAACGATTTGTTTATTCTTGAAGTTCTTTTTCATAAGAAAATACCTATGTAATAGTAAGAAGGTTTTCCGAATAAGTAATCTAACTAGTTTGTAAACTACGTACTTATCTCATTATACTATTAATATACAAATTTCGGAACATTTCTATATTTTACACTACGTTGAAGGAAATATAATTAGGCCCTTCGAGTTCGAAGGGCCTAATTATATTTCCTTCTACGTAGTTCGAACTGCTTGAAGATGAATTAATCAATAGGTATATCATACGCATTGCGCCACTTTTCACAGCGCATGCGCGTTCGTATGGATATTCGGAAATGTTATTTCACTTAATTTCAAGATAAGGTATGTACCTATTTTATCTATTTATTTCTTTATGTTTAACAATTTGCTCAGTCAATAGACGTGAACTCGTAACAATCGAGAAGGAAGTATGACCTCACACTTTTGTTTTGTCATGTAACCCTAGCGTTGACTTAAATATTAGAGCTGAATAGATGTTATTATTATACTTTTTTCTAGGTTAAAAATGCAAATCATATATTTTTAAATACATTTGCATACAATTTATGTTATCATTATTTATTTTACACAGAAATTAATATTTCCATTAATAGACGTGAATTATTTATCTACGCCTTACGAATAACTGGCAGTATGTGATATATATCATAAGCCACAATCAAGATTAAAAAATATAAACATAACGTTAAGTGCCATGTGTCACGCGATGCTAGAACATTTCGGAATAGACGGATGACTTTGGTATTGAGTGACGCCATTTTGAGTCCAACTGCGCAGTTCCCTCCCCCCGCTTTCCCCTCTTAGTAGTCTCCTATAAAACGCGGCCATGACGCGTCATGCGCCGCATTCTCATTTCGTCGTCGTGTCGTGCAGACATGCTAGTACTGTGTAGTGGCTGAAGAATTCCAGAAGTGTTAATTGTGCCTGGTCGGATACAGGTGTGTACTACGTACTATTGTCTTTCAAGAGTACTTTCTTGTTTAACTTAAAAATGGGTTACAGTACCAATGAAAAATCTGTTGTCGATTTCTGTGAAAGTAAAACTGAATCCTTAAGTAACTGGGTTCGTCAAGTTAAAACCAAATCTCTAAGTGCCAGAACAAAGAGAAAGCGTGATTTGAGGATAATCGCCATTTTGAGTAACTCCCTGACACGCGCTCAGGGTGAACTAGTCACGAAGCAACGAGAACGCGCTAGGAGATGGGCCCAGATGCAAGCTGATCTGGGACTGTGCAACAAAGAAGAGGAAGAGGCCAAGCTAGAGCGGGAAAAAATTGATCTTTTGTGGAAGAATGATCTCAGCGGTTTAGATAATTTTTTCAAGGAATTAGACAATATCAAGCCAGCTTTGAGATAAGCCAATTTAGGTAATGTAAATTACACTAGTAACTGTGATATAAGTAGGAAATTTTTCTAAATTACAGTCCCATTGCGTTTCGCGTGGGCCTGCATCCGTCGGCCGCCATCTTGGTTGCCGCTGGGGCGTGGTCACAAGGACTATGGACATAATGGGTTTGTAACACGGTATCATGCATTTAAATATATTTAGTGTAATTAATTGTAATTGTAATAAATTTCAATTTATCTATTGCATAATAATTAAATTGGAGTTTTTCAAGTTTATTCATATTGAATAATTAAATGAAATTGTACATATGTTTAAGTATGGAAATAAATTTTTTTTAAAAAGAAAGTGTATTAATGAATTTCATTTTGATTTTTAACAATTTCGCCTCACAAACAATGTATTATTCCATGAGTCATCATCGCCACTGCGTGGAGAACATGGCAGAGTTGAGTCACCGTTGGCGAGCTCGTGTGTCGGAGTGTTCGTGGAGATATTCAACAGTGTGCTGTGCTGCTCACTTTGCTGCATATCGCTATGCACTGCGTGGTACCGACGTTCACGCGAGTCGGTCCTGGTTGTCAGCCCACTAGGTAACGAATAGGTTGGCGTAAAGGTTTCAACATCTAAATAGTAACTAGCTATGTGTTGTGATTAGCCCGCACGCGGGCCTACGTATAACGTTGTCTTTAGATCTCAGACCCTGTCTACCGTGGCCAGCAGCTGCCACGAGCGATGATCAAAACCCTCGACTTAACTACCTCAAATATATGCAGTTGAGAAGGTACAATAGCGTGCCGAGCCTCAAATAATCCATGGATTTTCAAACAATACTTGCAAGGAAAGTTATATAAACGCTCGGTGAGTCATTTGTTTTCAAAACGATGATGGTCATTGTTCTTTAGATAACAAATGGAAATATCTAACGATGTGTTACATTTAACTATTAGCATATTAAGTACTTGCTCAATAGGTACATTAAGGTCAGCGATAACGTGAGCCACACAAGTCAGACTTAGGTATTAGAATGGAATTTAACCGAGGGTTGGTTAAATAAGCAGGAACAAATACCTTGGCTGCAAGAAAACCTCTGTAGCTATTCTCTACCAAGAAAACATAATATCGAGCCTTGATTTCGAGTTGCGGCTGCGCCATGGCACCCAAAGCATAGGTAAAGTCATTATTATATTTGACACGAGTGGAGGAATCGCATGTCTTTTGTGTTACAAATCGCAAATCCGCAGCGAACACTCCAGTTTGTAAACCTTATTAATGAAATAGGTTATCTACATAAATGAAGCGAGCTTTTGTACACAAAAGGATAAGTTGAAATCAAGACAGAAACCGTGGGCTGATGACGTGAACCGTGCTCCTTAACTAATGAATTTTATTCTTAATATAAAACCTAAGTTATATACCTACCTTGCGCAATATCAAATGAAAGGGAAATTGACACGTTAATGGATAGATTTAATGGTGAGTTGTTAATAGGTACCTACTCTATCTGACTTAATCTCTTCAATGGAGTCTTAAGTTGAAACTGTTTTGAACACATTTATTGATTATATGCAAACTTCACAGCTTAACGAGCGGACTGGGAAATGCTGACGTGAGCGAGGTTCACTCATTTTCTGACAAACATACGAAAAGCATGGTGATATCCTTCCACGTCAAGACGGCTAACCCGGCTCCTAGCTCCGGCTCCCTATAATGCCTACCGAGTGGACCGTCACATCCCATCCACAGATAAGTCAAAACGGTCATAATTCTTAAATGTAGCACCACTAGGTATGCGGTGCTACCCCTAAGAATCTTAAATATACAGGTTATCTGCATACAATTTAAACCATAACATAAGTTATGACATTGTATTAAAACAGCTAAAAAGAGATACGTATCTACTATTCCGTAGTGACTGCTAAGAATTTGAAAGTTATTTAGTGAGTCATTCACTTTATATAACTGTTTTGAATGTCACCAACGACACGTAGGGTCGATAACCCACTTAATACTTTTGATTTCAGATCAAACCTGTATGTCATGACTTTTTCCAAATTATCAATATACTACTCTAAGCGTGATCCTAGCTATGAAACAAATACATTATCTCGAAGGAGTACGATCACAACAGACATGATAAAATCTAAACGAACGCTTAAAATAATCATCTAAACCTACGGACGGTGCTATCTTTACACATCAAAACATAGGTTTAGAACGATATATTTTCACCTATTATGTACCTACTATAATAATAATGTCTAAGTAACGACAGTATCAAACATCGCGCGAGGTATGTACTGTACAGAATTGAACATCACGAAAACTGATTTTCATATTTTTTTTCGTAATCAAACCATTTTGTTCCTTGAAGGAACTGTGTTCTGAGAGTTTTATTTGACAGGTAAATGCACGGAAGCTAGACTACTTGAAACTGAAACGGTACCAAAAGCAGTAAATAAAGTTACTACATCATTAGGTGTGTCTATGGTCTGTCTTCACCGCATAGTGAGACGTGCTCGCGTGCTGTGCCTTCTCCGGTAAATCTGAATATCACCTAACCACATCACTGATACTCCGGAGTCATAAGGACAAATTTTGTAATTTGAACATTATTTTATCGAATGTATGTCTGCCTGTTGCTGGTTTCTCTTTCCACCAGGTCAGCTATCGGATTGAAAAAGGCCTATACCTGCGTAATTTAAAAATAAAAATTCAGTTAACATGAGGTATATATTTTGAAAATAAAATGTCTTCATGATGCCTTAATTTATAATTGGAAGTGTGGCAGATATTTAAATGTGAAATGAAAGGTAAACAAATTGATCAAGAATAATAATGAATAAATGTATATCGTTGGGAAAGAAAGGTATGTGGCAAAATTGATAAGGTTCTTTCAGTGCCTACTTTGTTTTTAGCAAAAGTGAAGTCTGATTAAGTGCCATTTCAGAACAAGTATTTTAGAAATCTGATGTTATATAAATAACATAATTCATAAAACATTATAAAAATAATAACAGACCAACACATAACAACAGCATAATGTTTATTTTTGGGAGAAGGAAAAATTGTCAAAATTTGGATTTTGACTGTCTTCATAACATTTTCAAATAGCACATTCAAAATTATCACAGTTATGATTTTTTGGCTTAAGAAACTGCGCGCAGGAAGGTTTAAGACAAGTAAGCAATCAAAAATATTATAAATGCTGATGTTTGTGTATATCTTCTAATTTATTGCTTGACGAGTACCTATATTATAATTGTTGCACTTGAGCGTTAGAAAGCTCAAATGACTATGTTTCGGTATGACTATATGTATGTACGTACTTACTGATATTTGTTAAAAAAAATTGTTTATTTAATGTCGGTCATCTTTGGTTAGTTTTCGAAATAAAACGTTTTTATTAAAGTTTGGCATAATACCACAATGCTATTAAATTGCCTTCCTATTCTGTGACTTTTCTAGTCTGATTTTATAGCACAGCTGACATACTAAAGCCTTTGCCAGAGAGAAAGAAGTTTGAGAAGGCACCAAATCGTCATACAGAAATACTTTGTGGTCTTGTAGCAGCTATGTATTAGTTTTTCAAATTATAGGTCATGTGTATATCTCATCTCATGTGTGTAAATTGTCTAGTTATACCGAAATGTAGTCAAAAAAATTCTCAAGCCTTTACTAAGTTTTACGTTAAATAGAGCAGTGACTATCAAGAGACGTGAGCACAAACAAAATTTGATGTACTACGTATTTATGTTCATCATTTTGTCATAACTGCCGTCATAACTAATTTTCAATTAGTTTCTTAAAGAAAATTACTGTTGTAATTCTGCCCTCACGTTGAAAGATATTTATTCATACATTTGTGCCCACTTTATCCTGAATACACTGTTTCTGAAAGATTTAGTTATATTATATAGGAAATACGTACGTCATGCAGTGCCAATGCGTCGTGGAGTTCGGGCGCTTGATTTTATAAATTATCAGTATGTAGCTTTTATTCATATCTATTGTTATTTAGGCTGTTTTGACAGCCTTAATCGCGCATGTTTTTTTTCCTTGTCCAGGGATACAGGTTATTTGACCACGTGTCATCTATAATCTCACAATACCTCAAAACGCTAAAATGAGAGCAGCTTTAAAATACGATGACTGGATGGAATAAGTAGACATGTTTGGATTATCGAACAGAATAACATTGTTGTTGTATTACGTATCTTCCGTAGGTAGTTAATTTTTTTTCGACTAGGTACCTCTTCGTTAAACAGGATAAAACAAAAAATGTCCATGGAATGTACTACAGTTACTGTAACTCCAGTAAGCTTACGAAAAAAAAATGGCTAAAGAAGCATCAATTAAATCTAAAACTAGATGACAAGTAAATAAGACATAAAATTATTGTAACTACGATACATTAGGAAAACTGAACAAAACTTGTTTCTCCTGGCGGGACTGAAGGCTAAGTGAAGAAATCCTACTTAAGCTACACACTGTATTACTACCTACTTCTACACTAAGCATACCTACTTGAGAGGATTTCTCATAAAAAGAACTGCACAATTTCAAGAATTTTGCTAATTATGTAAGTCATTTGATCTTGTGGTAATTTATAAAATTCATTTTGTCCAATCAATTTGATGGAGGACACGGAGAAAATGTTTTCTGAACACCGAAGTATTATATACCTTGGCTACGGGTTATTTCAACTAGTACTCTGGTATGTTTATATCGGCTCAAATTTCTACGTTCTTTATTAAGTAACTTGTTAAAATACGGTATACTTATAACCGCTAACCATTTTGGTTTCTAGGTAGAAATTTTTAATAAATAATAATCTGCTCGAGAATTTAAATTCTCACCTAAAGATGTATTAACATTACATCTTCAAAATATATTTTATACTGACCTAGAAATGAAATTGGCAGGAAATGGTAACCAAACCACGCATGTTAAGTGTCTTATTCACCTAGCTTGTACATTCGAGGCTTCTTTTAGAAAAAAAGCTTTTTTTTCTATAAGCTAAAGTATCGTAGATGGAAAGAGTAATTTACTACCTTAGCTGTAACAAAAATAACAAAGACAAAAAAGGTTGTGACAAACAAGCACTAAATGCTGTGAAAGAAATTGTGCAGTAACCAGGTTAGTAACACTTGTCTAGTTATAACTTGGTAAATGTAATTTTGTATATTATATATCTACCTAAGCTGTTAAAGCAAATAGTAAAACAGGGAGGCTGTTTACTCAAAGAAGTTTGCCATTACTTAGATCTTCACGACATTTGTCTAAGCTTTATATAACAAGGACTTGACTAAACACTTGTACTTCTTGAATCTCAATTCTTGAAGATGCTTGCATGCATTTTTTTTTACCAGTGCCCACTTGAGTCGTGAGCTGTTTTAATTATCTATTTCGTTGGAAGTTTTGATGAGCATTTGATTCTTGTAGACTGCATGTCATGATGAACACATGCATTTGTAGTGTGTTTAGTAATCTTAGGCTTCCTATAGGATACAGTGAATTGTGTGCATGCTCTCAACTACTGTATGTGCCTACTTTACCAGCTCACGAAGTCTGAAAACCATTGAAACATGTTTTCTTAAACGTCATGTAATTTGTACCGTAATCAGTCTAGTTAAACGATGCAGGTACAAAACTAGATACATGTCGTCGCTCTAGTTGATTCTATTAGTTTTGATTAACCTCTGTTCTGCTATACTTTGAAAGTTGCTCGATTAAAGATGTAGAAAATTAGTTACTACAGCATAATCGACCGTGTCTTGCAGCTAAAACAAACCCGTTGACGTCGTTGGTTCGCAGATTAGTGCGTAAGCACAGCACGTCTAGTTCGCCGAGTAGAAGTCCTGCTCAGAGCATTGCACTGTGCCAATAGCGTAAATACCTATACTGTGACTGCTCAAGTAAGAAAATCTAATCTGCGCTACCGTAACTAGTTGCCGTCACTACCAATATCTGCATTCGGGTCGGTGTAACCGTATATAAAATAAAGATTTGCCTGGCTTGCGTCTTTCACCTCACTAACCATCATCCATCACAAAAGTGGTTGCCTGGTAGATGATTATCCAAGTTTAATGGACATGTAAGTACATTAATTGCATAGAAAAATTAACAAACCTTTCAAAAAGAGGGATAGGCAACATGATAATCTTTTCCAGTTTATTATATTGTCTAGAAAACACCTCATCTTGAATCGCTTTTACAATAACTAACTTCCCGTGTAACCGTACGGCTGGCCTACGATAAATTTAACAGAAACCACGGTAGAGGTAACAAGAATGAGCCGTAGTAGCCTGGCGCCGGGTCAAGAGGTTTTCATAGAGTTTTGTCAACTGGTTTTCGCATGCTGTGTGACCAGTGTTTCAAACTGCATTGTGTATGTACTCGCAGGTTCAGACAAGTGTCATAATACCAGCATGCTGCTCGTCACGAGCACGAATACCGGTTTGTACCATGCACAGCGTAATTTTCGAATTGCTTGCAAGACAGCTCGCTGGAGATTCAGTCCTAACTTATACGTGTCTGCCCCAACCTGCTTGCTGCCCTCGCGAATGAAGACGTTCAGTCTGCTCGCTGTCTTCGCGAGTCTCGACCTTTAGTCTAATGGCTGACTACGTGCGTCTCTGCCTTCCACAGCCTGCTCGCTGTCTTCGCGTGTGACGACCTTCAGCCTGTTCGCTGTTTGTGTGTCCGCTTCCAGTCTTCACGGTGTCTACGTGAGTGTCGATTTGTCCGCTCGCTGTCAACGGGAGCGAGTACCTCCACCCTGCTGGCTAGCTTCGCGAGCACCTACTTTCACCCTAGTGGGTTTCTACGGATGGATGTCTACGCGTGCGTCTACCTCCAACTTGCCAGCTTTCTTCTCGAGCGCCTACTTCCAGCCTGCCGGCTGTCGTCGCGATCGCCTACTTCCAGCCTACCGGCTGTCTTCGCGATCGCCTACCTTCAGCCTGCTGGCTGTCTTCGCGATCGTCTACCTTCAGCCTGCTGGCTGTCTTCGCGATCGCCTACCTTCAGCCTGCTGGCTGTCTTCGCAATCGCCTACCTTCAGCCTTCTGGCTGTCTTCGCGATCGCCTACCTTTAGCCTGCAAACTGCCTACGCGAGCGCCTATCTCTAATCTGCGGACTGTCTACGCGAGTGGCGACCATCAGGCTGTCTACGGCCAGTGACGACCTTTAGTCCGCATGTTTTCAACGTGAGTGACCACCTTCAATCTGGATCTGGACTGTCGGTCTGCTTGCCGTCCACGCGAGTGACGACCGTCTTTCTGCTCGCCGTCCACGCGAGTGACGAGCCCCCGCCTGCGTGCCTGTCGGTGTTGGCGCGAGCGCCCGCCTGCCTGCCTGTCGGTGTCGGCGCGAGCGCCCCGCCTGCCTGCCTATCGGTGTCGGCGCGAGCGCCCGCCCGCCTGCCTGCCTGACTGACTGCCTGCCTCCCTCTCGGTGTCGGCGCGAGCGCCCGCCTGCCTCTCGGTGTCGGCGCGAGCGCCCGCCTGCCTCTCGGTGTCGGCGCGAGCGCCCGCCTGCCTCTCGGTGTCGGCGCGAGCGCCCGCCTGCCTCTCGGTGTCGGCGCGAGCGCCCGCCTGCCTCTCGGTGTCGGCGCGAGCGCCCGCCTGCCTCTCGGTGTCGGCGCGAGCGCCCGCCTGCCTCTCGGTGTCGGCGCGAGCGCCCGCCTGCCTCTCGGTGTCGGCGCGAGCGCCCGCCTGCCTCTCGGTGTCGGCGCGAGCGCCCGCCTGCCTCTCGGTGTCGGCGCGAGCGCCCGCCTGCCTCTCGGTGTCGGCGCGAGCGCCCGCCTGCCTCTCGGTGTCGGCGCGAGCGCCCGCCTGCCTCTCGGTGTCGGCTCGAGCCCCCGCCTGCCTCTTGCGATCCGGTCTCGCCGTGAGCTGTGGACTGCGATTCATCTCGTCGCGAGTTATGACTTGCAATCCCGTCTCGCCGTGAGCTGTGGACTGCGATCCGGTGTCGGCGCGGACTGTGGACTGCGATCCAGGCTCGCCGCGGCTGTGGCTTGCGATCCAGTCGTGCCGTCACTTGTTGACTACGATCCGGTCTCGTCGCGGGCTGTGGACTGCGATCCATCTCGCCGCGAGCTATGACTTGCAATCCGGTCTGGCCGTGGCTTGCGATCCGGTGTCGTCGCGGGCTGTGGCTTGCGATCCGGTGTCGTCGCGGGCTGTGGCTTGCGATCCGGTGTCGTCGCGGGCTGTGGCTAGCGATCCCGTCTCGCCGTGAGCTGTGGACTGCGATCCAGGCCCCCCCCCCCCCCTCTCCCCTGTATCTCGGTGTCGGCGCGAGACCCCGCCTGCCTCTGCGATCCGGTCTCGCCGTGAGCTGTGGATTGCGATTCATCTCGCCGCGAGATATGACTTGCAATCCCGTATCGCCGTGAACTGTGGACTGCGATCCGGTGTCGGCGCGGACTGGACTGCGATCCAGGCTCGCCGCGGCTGTTGCTTGCGATCCAGTCGTGCCGTCACCTGTTGACTACGATCCGGTCTCGTCGCGGGCTGTGGACTGCGATCCATCTCGCCGCGAGCTATGACTTGCAATCCGGTCTGGCCGTGGCTTGCGATCCGGTGTCGTCGCGGGCTGTGGCTTGCGATCCGGTGTCGTCGCGGGCTGTGGCTTGCGATCCGGTGTCGTCGCGGGCTGTGGCTAGCGATCCCGTCTCGCCGTGAGCTGTGGACTGCGATCCAGGCCCCCCCCCCCCCCTCTCCCCTGTATCTCGGTGTCGGCGCGAGACCCCGCCTGCCTCTGCGATCCGGTCTCGCCGTGAGCTGTGGATTGCGATTCATCTCGCCGCGAGCTATGACTTGCAATCCCGTATCGCCGTGAACTGTGGACTGCGATCCGGTGTCGGCGCGGACTGGACTGCGATCCAGGCTCGCCGCGGCTGTTGCTTGCGATCCAGTCGTGCCGTCAGCTGTTGACTCCGATCCGGTCTCGTCGCGGCCTGTGGACTGCGATCCAACTCGCCGCGAGTTATGACTTGCAATCCCGTCTCGCCGTGAGCTGTGGAATGCGAACCAGGCTCGCCGCTCCCTGAATCTCGGTGTCGGCCCGAGCCCCCGCCCCCGCCTGCCTCTCTGCGAGCCGGTCTCGCCGTAAGCTATGGACTGCGATTCATCTCGCCGCGAGCTATGACTTGCAATCCCGTCTCGCCGTGAGCTGTGGACTGCGATCCGGTGTCGGCGCGGACTGTGGACTGCGATCCAGGCTCGCCGCGGCTGTGGCTTGCGATCCAGTCGTGCCGTCTGCTGTTGACTCCGATCCGGTCTCGTCGCGGGCTGTGGACTGCGATCCATCTCGCCGCGAGCTATAACTTGCAATCCCGTCTCGCCGTGAGCTGTGGACTGCGATCCGGTGTCGGCGCGGGCGGTGGCTTGCGATCCCGTCTCGCCGTGAACTGTGGACTGCGATCCAAGCTCGCCCCCCCCCCCTGCTTCTCGGTGTCGGCGCGAGACCCCGCCTGCCTCTGCGATCCGGTCTCGCCGTGAGCTGTGGACTGCGATTCATCTCGCCGCGAGCTATGACTTGCAATCCCGTATCGCCGTGAAATGTGGACTGCGATCCGGTGTCGGCGCGGACTGTGGACTGCGATCCAAGCTCGCCGCGGCTGTTGCTTGCGATCCAGTCGTGCCGTCAGCTGTTGACTCCGATCCGGTCTCGTCGCGGCCTGTGGACTGCGATCCAGCTCGCCGCGAGCTATGACTTGCAATCCCGTCTCGCCGTGAGCTGTGGAATGCGATCCAGGCTCGCCGCTCCCTGTATCTCGGTGTCGGCCCGAGCCCCCGCCCCCGCCTGCCTCTCTGCGAGCCGGTCTCGCCGTGAGCTGTGGACTGCGATTCATCTCGCCGCGAGCTATGACTTGCAATCCCGTATCGCCGTGAACTGTGGACTGCGATCCGGTGTCGGCGCGGACTGTGGACTGCGATCCAAGCTCGCCGCGGCTGTTGCTTGCGATCCAGTCGTGCCGTCAGCTGTTGACTCCGATCCGGTCTCGTCGCGGCCTGTGGACTGCGATCCAGCTCGCCGCGAGCTATGACTTGCAATCCCGTCTCGCCGTGAGCTGTGGACTGCAATCCGGTGTCGGCGCGGGCGGTGGCTTGCGATCCCGTCTCGCCGTGAACTGTGGACTGCGATCCAAGCTCGCCCCCCCGCTTCTCGGTGTCGGCGCGAGCGCCCCCCGCTTCTCGGTGTCGGCGCGACTCGCCCCAGCCCCTGCCTCTCGGTGTCGGCGCAAACCTCCGCCTGCCTCTCGCGATCCGGTCATTGGCATTGTAAGCAACCTGGTAAGTGGCTAATTAATTCTTATTGGCAGAGTACATATTTTTTGACAATTTTTTCAATGGAAAGGTATGAAAATGAAGTGGACGGTAACGAAAGGTTACATTATATAACATGTCCAACATAAGAAGTTTGGAATTATTTAACTATTATTAAGTGTATATAAGTAATTTGTGAAAAGGTTAAGTGGCTTAGTGTTGTTAACGGATATTATACGAGAAACCAGAAGTATCAAGTTAAACCTCAAACTTAAGAAACCTCGCAGAATAAAGGAACTAAAACAGTCGCACGAGAATCGTGCTTGGTAGGTACCTCATTATTTGTTGTTGACAGATTACTTAACGCGAATGAAGTACTACATATACACGAAATCACTACTTTTTACCGTGATAGTGCCTTCCTAAGAGCGGGAATACAACAAATTGTATATCGACGTCCAAGGTAAAATATTTTTATGAAATGTTTCTTGCGTAACGAAATATTGTTGACAGGTTTTCATGGTGATTGTCAGAGCAGCGATTAATAACCTATGCCGAACAGCATACTATATTACATGATTAATAGAGTACCGAGACTGCGTGATCACCAAGCACGTAAACAAGTCCGAGATGAGGTGTATGGTACGCGTATTCCTAATACATTATTGTTGACAGATACAAATGCATAGGAGGGCAAAACATGCAAATTGTTAAACCATTAATTGCTATAAGTCAACGAGTTCTATACATCAGATATATACAGTAACCAGCTGGTGCTCGCATGGAATTTGAAAACCGATGCCTTAGTGAGTTCGATTCCCGGACCTGGCAAAATTTTATAGGGTTTTTCTGAGAAAAAATAGCCTTAATTACTCCTTATATGGACAGATACTTGGAAGTAAAATATTATCAAAATGGGTACAGCCGTTTTGAAGATTACCCGGAACAAACAAACAGATAGACAGGCAGACAAAAAATATTTAAACTGGTTTATAGGTAAAGGTATCGTGCAATTAACCGTTTTATTTACTTGTATAGATTGCAGGGCAGTTGAAAGATATCAATTAAGTTAAGACTTATAATGTGACATGTAAAGCGTTGTAAATACCCTGAAAGGTAAGGTACGTAACAAAATATTGTTGGCAGGTTAATAATGAAGTAATAAACTAACTTGTGAAAAAAGAGCGCGACTTATTTATCAAGTAAGTAATGCAGAATAGTTAGTGAATGTAAAGAAAACTGTGGTGGATATAATATTACAATAATAATATACCTCACACATTTCACACACGGCCGTCTGATCCCAAACTAGGCAAGAGCCTGTGCAATGGTAACCAGACTCATATATATTTTTAAATACATGCATATTATAGATAAACAATACCCAGACACAGAACAAATGACCGTGCCCACCACACAATATTTGTCCTGGGTGGGAATCGAACTCACGACCTCTGACTTGGCAGTCAGGGTCACTAACCGCTAGACCAACAGGCCCGTCAAACATATACAAATGATGTTTGCCGAAGTACCGGTTACGAAGAATTTTTAGGTCACCCAGAACTTAAAAGACATCTACAACCTCGCCTAATCGGAGACCGAAAACAATCTCACGAAAAACATTCTGGTAGGTGCTTAATTTGCTATTGTTGACAGATTACTCGTCCTACATTAAAAAGTACGTAGCTATGAAGGACAAAGAAAACAATAAGAAATAAAGTATATATATAATAAGGCAAAAGTGCCTCCACAAGAGCGGGAACACTGCAAATCTTTTGTCTTGTACACACAAATTCTCATTTTCTGCAAATCATATCACGACGTGATACAAGGTAACATAATTTCATAGAATGTCTGGTCCATAACAAAGTATTGTTGACAGGTATCTCTCAGGCGTTAAGTAGTTTTGGGCAATCGGATAATAGTAGTGGTTAGTAACCAAAAGTGACACAACATCAAAAATAGGGTAACTGATCGCGTAACGTCCGTGGAAACGGTTTGCTGACTTCGCGTGTATTCCTGATACATTGTACATACAAATCCAACTATGCGAGTTGTTATGAAATATTAAATCAATAGCGGTTCCATTGAACACTCGTGGCAGTAAAATAGACACAAGGAACGATATAATTTATAATAGTGGTAATGAAAGCAGTTTATATCTGCTGACAGGTAAGGTACGTAACAACATATTGTTGACAGGTTATTAAGTAATGAACAACATGAAAATAACTATCGAAAAACTATCAAAAGAAATTATCTGGTACGGTGTGAAGAAACATAAGGTGGTATATGTACAACAACAAGGGCAAAAAAATTACGAACAGAGGTTCGTAAAACAATAAAGTATTTACAAACAGCTATTTGTCACCTTATAAGTATGCATACTTAAACGAGAACGTTGAAACCGCAATAGGCACTGTAAAAAACTTGGTAAGTGCCTAATTAATTATTATTGTCAGGATTACTGATCAATTATATTAGTAAGATTTCTCAATAAGAACAAATCAGACTAGCTGTAAGAAATATACCTATTGAGTTCTGAACTAGACTCCCAAAAACTGATAAAGCAGATGGTACTATCAAATTCAGAATTATTGTGGCATTTTACGTGTTGGCCGATCAGTTGTAGTTGTAGGTAGGTAATAAATTATTTTTGACAGATTTATTCAATGGAAAGATATGAAAAGGCAGTAGACACGGCAACGAAAGGTTACATTATATAACACGTCCAACGTAAGAAGTTTACCTATTATTAAGTGTATATAAGTAATTTGTGAAAAAGTTAAGTGGCTTAGTGTTAACGGATATTATACGAGAAACCAGAAGTATCAAGTTAAACCTCGCAGAATGAAGGAACTGAAACAGTCTCACGAGAATCGTGCTTGGTAGGTACCTCATTATTTGTTGTTGACAGATTACTTAACGCGAATGAAGTACTACATATATAGCAACAATAGAATACACAAGAACAACATAAGACGAAAATTACGACATACACGAAATCACTACTATTTACAGTGATTGTGCCTTCCTAATAGCGGGAATACAACTAAATTCTATCACAAGATTTAAGGTAAAATATTTTTATGAAATGTTTCTTGCGTCATAAAGTATTGTTGACAGGTTTTCATTAAGGGATAATCGTAGCAGCGAATAATAACCTAGGCGGAACTGCATACTATATCACATGATTAATAGAGTATCCAGGCTGCGTGATCACCAGGCACGACAATAAGTCCGAAATGAGGTGTCTGGTATGTGTATTCCTAATACATTATTGTTGACAGATACAAATGCATAGGAGGGCAAAATATGCAAATTGTTAAGCCATTATTGCTATAAGTGAACGAGTTCCATACAAACAGATATATACAGTAATTGTAGGGGCGTTGAAAGATATCAATTAAGCTAAGAGTTTATAATGGTGACATGAAAAACGTTGTAAATACCCTGAAAGGCAAGGTACGTAACAAAATATTGTTGGCAGGTTAATAATGAAGTAAGTTTCTAACTTGTGAAAAAAGAGCACGACTTATTTAAAAGAAATAACACAAGCGCAGAGCATATCAAGTAAGTAATGCAGAATAGTTAGTGAATGTAAAGAAAACTGTGGTGGATATAACATATACGAATGTTGTTTGCCGAAGTACTGGTTACACAGAAATTTAAAGACATCTACAACCTCACCGAATAGGAGACCGAAAACAAACTCACGAAAAAACATTCTGGTAGGTGCTTAATTTGTTATTGTTGACAGATTACTCGTCCTGCATTAGAAAGTACGTAGCGATGAAGGACAAAGAAAACAATAAGAAGTAAAGTTCGTATATAATAAGGGGAAAAGTGCCTCCACAAGAGCGGGAACACTGCAAATCTTTTAGGCTTGTAAACACAAATATCTCATTTTCTGAGTTTACGACGTGATACAAGGTAAAATAATTTCATAAAATGTCTGGTCCATAACAAAGTATTGTTGACAGGTATCTCTCGGGCGTTAAGTAGTTTTGAGGCAATCGGATAATAGCATTGGTTAGTAACCAAAGTGACACAACATCAAAAATAGGGTAACTGATTATGTAACGACCGTGGAAACTGACTGAAAGTCTGCTCACTAGGTATAGTAGATGTATCTTGATGCATTGTATATACAAGTCCAACTATGTAAGTTAAGAAATTGCATTAAATCAATAGCGGATCCATTCAACACTCCGTGGCAGTTAAGTACACACAAGGAGGTTATAAGTTATAATAGTGGCAATGAAAGCAGTGTATAATTGCTGACAGGTAAGGTACGTAACAACATATTGTTGGCAGGTTTTTAAGGAATAAACAAAATTTAAAAAACGCCCATCAATTATAAATGAAAAATTATAAATGCATCTGGGACTGACAGCAGTATGTTAGTTAAAATACTATTAAGAGACGACAAAGCAACAAGAATGAAGATTTACAGCATCTACAGTACAATAATAGAAGAGATCTACAACCTGCACACAAGCTCTGGCTTAAAAAAATATATTTCAGCTTCGTCGATTACTACGTGTCAAAATCGTATCATCGTGAACTACTACAAAAGTTGTCTACGTTGATTAGAAGAGACCTACAACATGCACACAAGCTCTGGCTTAGACAAAAAATTTCAGCTTCGTCGATTACTACGTGTCAAAATCGTATCATCGTGAACTACTACAAAAGTTGTCTACGTTGATTAGAAGAGACCTACAACATGCACACAAGCTCTGGCTTAGACAAAAAATTTCAGCTTCGTCGATTACTACGTGTCAAAATCGTATCATCGTGAACTACCACAAAAGTTGTCTACGTTAATAGCTTATACGGAATAGTGTGTACAAAAACTACTTTGACCATAATGATCGGAAGCGCATTACCGTGAAGAAACATGGTAGGTATGAGTATAATTAAAAATTGTCGACAGATATTATCATCGAGACGGCAAAAAATCAGAAAAATTGCAAATGCATTATGCGTGCACACTCGAACTTGCTTTGAAGCTCATAATATGAACTTTATTCAATGAAGATAAGTTACAAAAGAACAGTTGTTAAATTGTAAACATCAAAAGAACTGACTATAACAATAAATTTATTCTCTTGGTAAGGAAATGAATTTAAATAGACACAAGGACCGTTATAAGTTACTATAGTGACAATAAAAGCTGTGCATATTCGTTGACAGGTAAGGTACGTAACAACATATTGTTGACAGGTAACAAGAATGAAGAATTACAGCCATTACAGTAATAGAAGATACCCATAACATACATGCACACAAGCTTTGGCTTAGACAAAAAATCACATTCGTCGATTACCACGGCTCAAAATCGTATCGTAGTAAACTACCACAAAAGTTGTCCACGTTGATAGCTTCATATAAGATAGTTAGTACAAAAACTACTTTGCCCATAATGATAGGAGGCGCATTACCGTGAAGAAATATGGTACGTATCGAGTATAATTAGAAATTGTCTACAGATATTGTCATCGCGACGGCAAACAATCAGAGAAATCCCTAATGCATTATGCGTACACAGTCAAACTTGTGTTGAGGCTCGTATGAACTTGATTAGATGAAGATAACAAGTTACAAAGGAAATTTTTTAAGTGCAAGTTAAATTGTAAACATCAAAAGAACTTTATTTGAGTTTAACAGCAAAATTCTTCTCGTGGTAAGCAAATGGATTTAATCAAGAGTTGTTACAGGTAATAAAAAGCAATTCATTTAACTAAACGCGACCGAAAGAAATAAAATCAGAACGAGTAAAATGTTGACAACTGATGCTGCTTCATGATCGTTATTTCTGTTTTCAAAGAGTTCAAATGGGGCACAAGGCATTATATAGTTGTTTTCACAGGCGATGCAGCGACTGCTGTAGTGAAAGACAATCCAAGCGATTAATTGTTAGTTTTAAAATATGCAACATTCTGAGTGGTATGCAGGAACTGTAACATAAAATAGAATATGTCAGCGTTTGCAGAAAATACAAATTAAAAAAAAAACCGAAAGCTAGTGCATGGTAAGTGTTTTTTCTGTCATAAATATTGCTTTTTTTGCCGTAGAGCTCTCCAATAGATGATGAACTGATGACGACACATATAATAGTGAAGGCGAAGACTTAAAAAACATGAACGTGGTAATACGTTAGGCTAAATCAGGGTATGAGATGCAGAACAAGCATAAATGGAATAGAAGAATTTCGACATCCAAGAAAAAACTACAGACGTATAAAAACAAGCGAAAAAAGTATGCATAAAAAGGCTATACGAATAAGGTACTGTAGACATGGAAAGAAATCTAGAAGTATACCAAAAAATTTAGGGGCGGAAACAAGACCTCAAAAAGTTTTCAAAGATTGCAAACCAGGTGCTAGACGGTCGAAACTGGAATATGAATAAAATACAAAGGAGGTGCTTAAAACGAGGAAAGAAAACTATCACCGGAAGACACGAAGAAGATGAAACAAGACACCTACACGGGCGAAGTGCTGAAGAAAAAGACTCAAAACAAATATACCCTCGGTGGAAGAAAAAAAGAAGACCACTACACGGACGAAGTGCTGAAGAAGAAGATTGAAGACTTACAACACAGATGAAGTGCTGAAGAAGACTGAAGACTACTACACAGATGAAGTGCTGAAGAAGACTGAAGACTACTACACAGATGAGATTCTGACAAAGACTACACACTGACGAGGTGCTGAAGAAGAAGACTACTACACGGACGAGGTGCTGAAGAAGACTGAAGACTACTACACAGATGAGGTTCTGAAGAAGAAGGCTACACACAGACGAGGTGCTGAAGAAGACGACACACGGACGAGGTGCTAAAGAAGACTACTAGACGGACGAGGTTCTGAAGAAGAAGACTGAAGACTACTACAAGGACGGAGTGCTGAAGAAGAAGAATGAAGACTACTACACGGACAGGGTGCTGAAGACGAAGGCTGAAGACTACTACAAGGAGGGAGTGCTGACGAAGAAGACTGAAGACTACACGGACGGGGTGCTGAAGAAGACGACACAGACGAGGTGCTGAAGCAAACTGAAGACTACTGAACGGTCGAGGTGCTAAAGAAAACTGAAGATACTGCGCGGACGAGGTGCTGAAGACGAAGACTGAAGACTTACTACACGGACGAGGTGCTGAAGATGAAGACTGAAGACTACTACACGGACGAGGTGCTGAAGAAGAAGACTGAAGACTACTACACGGACGAGGTGCTGAAGAAGAAGACTGAAGACTACTACACGGACGAGGTGCTGAAGAAGAAGACTGAAGACTACTACACGGACGAGGTGCTGAAGATGAAGACTGAAGACTACTACACGGACGAGGTGCTGAAGATGAAGACTGAAGACTACTACACGGACGAGGTGCTGAAGATGAAGACTGAAGACTACTACACGGACGAGGTGCTGAAGAAGAAGACTGAAGACTACTACACGGACGGGGTGCTGAAGAAGAAGACTGAAGACTACTACACGGACGGGGTGCTGAAGATGAAGACTGAAGACTACTACACGGACGAGGTGCTGAAGAAGAAGACTGAAGACTACTACACGGACGAGGTGCTGAAGAAGAAGACTGAAGACTACTACACGGACGAGGTGCTGAAGATGAAGACTGAAGACTACTACACGGACGAGGTGCTGAAGATGAAGACTGAAGACTACTACACGGACGAGGTGCTGAAGAAGAAGACTGAAGACTTACTACACGGACTAGGTGCTGAAACGAAGACTACTACACGGACGAGGTGCTGAAGATGAAGACTGAAGACTACTACACGGACGAGGTGCTGAAGAAGAAGACTGAAGACTTACTACACGGACTAGGTGCTGAAACGAAGACTACTACACGGACGAGGTGCTGAAGATGAAGACTGAAGACTACTACACCGACGAGGTGCTGAAACGAAGACGAAGACTACTACATGGACGAGGTGCTGAAACGAAGACGAAGACTACTACATGGACGAGGTGCTGAAGAAGAAGACTGAAGACTACTACACCGACGAGGTGCTGAAACGAAGACGAAGACTACTACATGGACGAGGTGCTGAAGAAGAAGACTGAAGACTACTACACCGACGAGGTGCTGAAACGAAGACGAAGACTACTACATGGACGAGGTGCTGAAACGAAGACGAAGACTACTACATGGACGAGGTGCTGAAGAAGAAGACTGAAGACTACTACACCGACGAGGTGCTGAAGAAGAAGACTGAATGAAGACTTAGTACACGGACGGGGTGCTGAAGAAGAAGACTGAAGACTTACTACACGGACTAGGTGCTGAAACGAAGACTACTACACGGACGAGGTGCTGAAGAAGAAGACTGAAGACTACTACACGGACGAGGTGCTGAAGAAGAAGACTGAAGACTACTACACGTACGAGGTGCTGAAGAAGACTAAAGACTTGCTACACGGACGAGGTGCTGAAGAAGAAGACTGAAGACTTACTACACGGACTAGGTGCTGAAACGAAGACTACTACACGGACGAGGTGCTGAAGAAGAAGACTGAAGACTACTACACGGACGAGGTGCTGAAGAAGAAGACTGAAGACTACTACACGTACGAGGTGCTGAAGAAAGAAGACTGAAGACTACTACACGTACGAGGTGCTGAAGACGAAGACTGAAGACTACTACACGGACAAGGTATAACAATATTTATTTTTCTTCAAGAAAATCGGTTTAAAAAAAATGTTTTTTTTGTAAACCGATTTTAAAGCCTTAGCACCTGCACCGGATGTGCTCAATTTTCCCATGATAACATGGGGTTGCTAGACGTACGATACCCACATTAAAATTAGTTTGTCACTTTATCGACACAGCATTCAAAATTTATATAAAGTTGTACTTTTAATAGAATATATACTTAGTAGAATTGTATTTATACACCTGTAGCACCTGCTATATTTTGATGAAGTAAAACTAAATCTAAATTAAAAAAAGTAAAATATTCCTTTTACTGATACAATGTGTCGACGTCTTACCTTACGGCTGTCATTCGAACCTGGCTGAGGCTTTTTAGTTTTAAAATAAATAGGAATTATGCCCTGCTTCTAGTCTGGGACACAGCTCTCTATTGGTGTAGACTTAGTAGCCAAATTGGTTATTTTGTATTTTTACATTTTTATTGTGGTAAATATTTAATTTTCATTTGCATCTAAAAATCTTACTGCATAACTTAATTTTTACAAGTATTCTAAACTTGACTAAGTATGCCTTTAAACAAAAATTACAAAAACCTTGTTATGCTGTTAAATAGGGGAGGTGCTCAAGAAGAAAGAACACGGACGAGGAGATAAAAATGAAGAAAGAAGACTAGGTACTACACGTGTGCAGACTGAAATAAAAAGCAGCAATTTATTAATAATTATAAAGATAAAACTTGTAATGGCTGAACAGTACAGATTCAAGTTCACAATGATAATGTCCCGACATCTATGTAACACATGCCGTATAAATACACATGAATACACTGTTGCGCACATAAAAGAAGACTACCACCTTCGCGGACGATATGCTGAAGCAGAAGAAAGAAGACTACTAGAGGGACGAGGTGTTGAAAACAAAAAAGAATGGACACACCAAATAAGTTGTTGAAGAAGGAGTACCGCACTCTACAGACGAGGTATAATAATGCAATAATTTGTATTTTCAAGAACGTACGAGTTAGTACTCGTAGTTATGTACTGGTGATATAACGAATTTTTTTGAACCGATTTTGAAGCCTTTAGCATCAGGTGCTCAATTTTCTCTATGATTATCTCTATAATTTTAATATTTATTTAGTACAATAAATATTAAAATTATTAGTGTATGTAATTCTTATGCCCCCCCCCCCCCTACAGCATTTAAAATTGTAGTTAGAAGCAGTGTTAGGTATTATTTTTTATGAACAAGATTTTATTTATTCCATTTTCAATTCTTTAATAAATTGATTTTTACTTACTTTAAATTTATCCGTACAGTCAACAAATAATCATTGACTTGACTGAATTAACTTTGTTCATATTCAACACATGCATATTTAGCTGTCGGTTACTTTAGACATTCATCACAAAAACTTTCTTATGCCGTATAATAGGGAGATGCTCATGCTGAGGAAAAAGAAAACAGACTACTACGAGATGAACTGTTGAAGAAGAAGATAGAAAAAATACTACACGGACGCGGTGCTGAAGAATAAGGAAGACCAACAAATACACGAGTCCGGACGAAAAATAAACTTGATACTGAGGTAGTAAAAAAGATGGAGGAAAAGAACTAAAAACACAAATATGAGGATAACGTGAATTATGAGACAAGGACAAATATAGCATTATCTTTAGTAATGTGGTTGTTTTCTTTAGCTAACTATTTTTTAATTTCTCAGGAAGTCTATACCCTAGTATCGAAAAAAACTACACAAAATACATTACATATATATTTTCATTAGGTAAATAAACTCAGAAATGTAATTCATTCTGAGCAATCTAAGAAAATTTCAATCTTACAATACCAGAGCGTAAATGTACCCACGTTAAGGCAAAATATCATGTCCGTATGGATTGAGGAGCCACTTCTGATTTGAAACAGAAACTAGCAAATAATTTTGTAGGACAAATCCTGAAATTTGTATTAAGATAAATCCAAAGGCATATGTATCTCTTCGGGCGGGGGCCGACGTGTGCGTTACCCCAGCAAAATAATGTCGAAAATGGTCATTTAAACGTTATAGATAATTAGTTGCTCCCCTTCTGTAATTGTTAGGCACATTTTTAAATTTGTTTCACTTAAACTTTTTTAGTTATTTCAAAAAAACATTTCCTGCTGGGGTAACGTTTGAAATGTTACCGCAGCCAGACATTTTCTTTTTTAATTGTAATATTGAAATAAATTTTAGCTAAATAATTAGTTATCTGGACTAGGTAAATGTTACAACTTATTTGGTATTTGTATTTTCTTCGGCTGCGAAGTTATTCGAAATCCTGCTGGGGTAACGTTTGTGGGTTTGCTGGATCTCTGAAACGGGTAAGCGGATTGTAACCATCTTTTGTACATAACTTCTTAAGGATTAGTTTTAATTTGTTCGGCAATAAAATAAAAATAATGGACCGTTTAAAAATTATTTAGGTAAGTATGAAAACACTTCAATACGTCCTAACACATTAAATAAGACCTCTAAAGACTTACTTGAAACGTTATTCTATTGCTTGTAACTACCTTCAAATGTATAGGAATTTTTGTAAGAATATGTACTGTAAGTGACTAAAAAGTTATGATGAAATGTAGCTCTCCACGTTCACGATCACAATGTGTGCGGCCTTTTTTGGCCACCGATAAACCTGTGTGTGGATATATAAACTGAATGTTATGCCAATAATTAGTTGTTTAGTTCAGTTGTCTATCTGTAGAATTTCAGCGTCGTACATATGATAATTTACGAGATAATTAAATAAAAGTCATTTGAAGGTGCAAGACCGTGGTAACCCGACCATGTTTAGGTGGTTACAAAAAAGCGATCACCCAGTACATTGTGCTGGCTTTTAAAATATGTAGGATATTATTTGCAAGTTTACTACGGATATGTACATAAGTAAGTGTTACAAAAAACTACATGTTTTTTAAATAATTTTTATTTAGGATTGTTTATTGCATAATTAGTAATCAGCCGGGAGATTAGGTATTGTTTTGAATGCTTTTGTTTTCTCGTAATGTTTAGGTGAATTGTTTATAGTTGTTCATAGAATTGGTACCTGCGTAGTATTTGTTAATTGAAGTTTAATTTTAGGGTAGGTAGGTATAGGTAATTTAAGTTTTGAAGAGTGTGACGTATGCGTTGTAAATAGGTATTTTGTGAATAGATGGGGATTTTTTTAAGTGATGAATCGAATTAGGCTAGCATATCGCGAACAAACTCTGTATTGCAATATTTCTGTAATAATTTTGGAGAAAATAAAATATTTGATCACAAAATCGCGGTGAGTTAAATTATAATAAAATAAATTATTTATGTAAAATTAGTAATAAGTGATATACCTACCTACAAGTTATGATCGTTTTTAATTTGTTCACCCTGAACGAAATTTCAATATTAGCATTAGTAATTAATATCCTAAGACAAGAATTGACAATTACTTAAATTGAATCGAATTAGCATTAATGCCCATTATTAGTTACTAGGTACACACATATTGAAGAACTCTCAAGAATACGATAAATATTTGCAAAAATAGAAAGCGGAAGCGCACACGTACTTTACAACACGTATATTATCTGCCTAAGGGTCAAGTTTAGTGCACTAGATGCAAATTGCAAACAATGAAGGATCCCTTCGCCCCTCCCCTCTCGCGTTCTAGCGAAAGATGTATTATCAGCGATTCTTGATTGACAAATATTATCTGACCAATAATTTTATCTATAAAAATGTATCACTTTCACTCGATTAACTAAATTACCGTTATTGTATCAAAATATCATTCAACAACTGTTCGTTTTTAACAGAAATCAACAGTCACGGGCTCAACGCTTAACGGTAGGTACATAGGTATAGATACGGTAGATACATAGGTATTTACGAAAATACAGAAATGCAAATTTAGAATAAAATAAATACAATAAAACAATTGCCGAATTAGAACATAATTGTAAAGCCGCGTTTTCACGTTACGAGTGGGCTCGGACCGAGTGCTACTCGGATACAACTCGTATCGTGTAAACACGCCATCTGAGTGCACTCGGACGTCGGATACCGATCAGAGTGGACTCGGACGCGGTTCTATTTTTTCGAGTGCACTCGTATCATTTTATGTAAACAAAATGGCGTCAACAAAAAAAAAGTGGAGTGAATGTGACACTATGAGGCACAAACCTCATAGTGTCACATTCACTCCACTCACGTTTCCACACTCGTTTATGAAATGTTTAGGGTTTATAACAGTTAAATAATAAAAATTATAAGTAGTTTATTAGCTGTAGTTTTATAATAATGTTGGACTAATATAAGAAAACACAGATAAAAGGCACATTCTCTCATGATGTGTCGTTTGAAACTAGTTCTTCGTTCTTTGCTGACTGAAAACAATGATTGTTAACTTAGTTCACAAGATCAGCTATATGATTTCAGCTTGATTCTTGTGTTCATGTACCAGGTCCTATAAGTTCTCTTGTAAGTGCGTCGTAACGCAAGGCTCTCTTAATCAACCAGTTGCGGAGGGCGCAAGTCACTTTTGACTATTTTATAGACTATCGGCCACTATTTCTATGCCTCGCAGTAGAAGATCGTCATCATCGAACATCTTCAAAATGGATATAGTGCAATGAAACAACGAGATAAAATGATACTCGGACGCTATTCAACTCGTAACGTATACTACAATCCGAATGCACTCTTATACGAGCAGGCTCGTACGCCCGCACTGGGCCCGAGCCTACTCGTAACGTGAAAACGCGGCATTAACATGAGTCTGTGAACTGTACACTGTCACAATGTCGGCGACATCAGAGCGACGCCGCCGCCGCCACCGCGACGAGCCGGCGAACTTTACATTCTTATTACTTTACTTGCTTTTTAAAATTTATTTATTAAAAATACGATTTCATTCTCGTGTTGATTTTGGGAATGCTCGACTAGTTTCGGACCCAGTAGTACGTGTCACTCCTTGAAAAAGTAGGTACTTTGGTTGTCTCGTGAACTTTGTACCGCCCTTACAAAATTCGGCAGTCCGTAGGACATACACGATTGATTCCATACCGCGGTTTGTCCGTAAAGCTAAAGATGCATTTTGATAGAGTTCACCGTAAATTAACATCATATTAGGATATCCCGCGGCTGTGAAGGTAACTTACGGCATTATGGCTGTTGATACCGATAACCCAATAAAATAAAAAGACTGATAATTCACTCAGTTTCACACTACACTACACACAAAACCTAATTTTGACACTTTTCAAAATAAAATTAGCGTTACAACACAAAGTCTAAACAATTATTAACACAACAAAACTCTTCTAAAACAAATATCTCACGAACAACAACAATATTGTTATTACGCTAATTTTTCGTGAGCGCATCTACAAGGACACAGAACAGCATAACACTTGCCGATGGCCAAGGGCCGACTGACTGGACTTACTGGATGAACTAATTAAAAACGCGTGTCCTTCATCCTGATGACGCAATAATCCACAAATTTCGTTCCATTCGAGTGTAGTAAAAGCGGCAATGTGTGATTACCGCGCCGCGTATACAGCTGATCGCCGCCTGAGGTCAATGTATTATGACTGCATTTACACATGATGCTGCAAATTACGAAAACAAAAAAACTGTCCTGTTTCTAAACC